CTTTTTCTTATTAATTTTGGTGCGTAGAATCCAAAACAAATCGTACTTTTACGATCGGACGTCTCAATCAAAAGTTAATTATCAGTTGCAATTTTAAAAAAAACTGTATTGTAATTGATTTCCGAAAAAGGAGTACTAAAATGAAGCAAAAAATGTTTTTGTGGTGCACCTCAGAGCTAACTCCCCCCCCCCCCCCCCCGCCACCTTCATTACTACACTAATACTTTAATGGCCCGTAACCTATGCAATTCCACCTGGCCCGTAAGTACCCAGTCCGCCCCTGCTTAAAAGGTTATTAGAATTTGAAGGACGCGCCGGCAACCACGTCCTGAAAATTGATAAAATATTACTCTATGATTGCCATCGGTGCAGGTGTCGAAATTGAAGACATTGCGGGTGGCGGTGGCGCTAATTTAGCCACTACTTAAAAAATAAAAAAAGAGAAGCGAGGTTTTAGAAGACATTTTCTTCACACCTTTTAATTAATAATAATAATAATAATAATACTATATTTATTGAGTTATTGTGTGGGTACACTTACTCTAGTCAACTCTCATACATATGTAAATTAACAGACACAAAGGCATATAAAAAGTACATACAAGTACAACAAAGAGACATGCATATTCCTTCAATTCAATTCAATTAACAAATCACGTTGTTATAATGAATTTTTTCTATTTCGGTGTCACAATGATGATTTTGTACAACTGTTTTCGGCCGAAAACAGTTGTACAAAGACAGTGATTATAGTCGTTTTTTTTGGTAACTCATCTCTTAAGTTGGCAGTTACTAGTTAGTACAAGTAGGTACTTCGTTGGGTACTTCCATGTTTGAACTTCAAAATGTCAGTCTTACTACGCTGCCAACCTAAAACTTAACGGCATAAAAAGTGTTCCCAACATAAAACATGTTAGTTCTAATGTTCCCTATAGTTTCTGATAATGATTTTTTTAATTAAATTAAAGCACCGAAATAGAAAAAATAGTATGAAAAACGCGTGTTACAATGCTTTATTGTAATACTCCTATCTTGCGGACACTCGTGGCTACGCTTCGCGTCGCCACTCGTGCCACAAGATAGTCGTATTACAATAGGTCGCATTGTAACACTTGTCTTTCAATATACTATTTTGAATGCCATACTTTCTGAAAAACTAGAACCGAAAATATCCGTTATGGACCGAAAAAAATGCGCAGAACCGAACCGTTATTTCTTTTTAGAACCGAAACCGGACCGGAACCCCGTTATATATATTTTCGCTTAAATATAAACAGAACCGGAACCGATATTTCATTTGGGTCCGGGTCCCTCAGGGGGTCAGGGAACCCTCTTACATTTCCTAGAGACGAATAAGTTGTAAGAAAAGAACCAACGGCTAAAAATACGGAAGAGGAGACTATCGTATTAAAGGTCATCCTCAACAACGCTGGAAGAACACTCTTCTTATTATGATAGTTCCTGAGAAGAAACGATCCAAAGAAAAATGCTCATATTCGGATCTCCGGGTGAGCACTATCCCAAGAGTTGCGTATGTAAGTGGAAGGATGTAGGAATAATTCATGTCTAAGGGTAGGACCTTAAATATAATAAGAACCAAGTTTTAAAAAAAATCATCATTTTAAGCGGGGGAATGATTACACTTTCACATGCTTTTGGGTCGTATAAACAAAATCAAACAAAGAACAGAATTATTGGATGCACACAACAAAAGTTACTTACAATGACTTTCTGTAGCCTGTTATAAAGGTCATTCTACAAATTATAAATCTACCCCTATGTTTGAAGGATAGAGTCGTTATCTTATGCTCTGCACTCGTAAAGTCCTTTTGCAAATATAGTCAATATAGTGTATGTTCGTCACAATATTAAAGTTCTTCATACGAATTACATAAGTATCATCTTTTTTTAATGCATAAAATAGGAACTCCATCAATATACTTGACAGGACGTCTGAGGGCATAATGGACTGTCATCTCATTGTGCCCTCGGACGTCATAGACTACTTTATATAATTAACAGATATAATTGGCATATAATAGGCATTAATAAATATAATAAATAATAAACGGATAGTAGTAATAATGGACATATTTCATATATAATAGGCAAATGAAAAATAAAGTTAATTATAAAATTGAAAATTAATTTTAATTATAAAAGTTTCTCGCATTTAACTATGTAGGGCAACAGGTAATTTGGTGACATTTTGTAAGCGTATTTTTCCTTCCCTTTTTTATAAGATCATTATATCACTGGGCAAGTAAATTTTTGTGCACCCAACTTTAAATAACATTAGTCAGAAACAACCTTCCGCAAATATACGCATAGGGAATCACGTCTCTTTCTCATACAGAACAAGCGCAATGTTAAAATGGTTGTTGTAGGCGTGAAAAGGAGAAAATTGGCAAAAAAAATTCTTTGTTAAAGTCGTGTCAATAACTTCTGGATTCGGTTCCGGTTGACTAAAAACTGTTGAAAAGGAAATCCGAAAATAATCACCTAACGGAAAACTCTGTCGGCGCTAGGCTTTGAAACTTTAGGGTGTCTCAGAGTCAGCGAAAATGTTTTATTATAATTTATGCGCGGATCTCGTCAAAATGAAGTTTTGTTTCTTGCGCGATTTTTTTAAATAAAGGTTTAGTTTGGAAGTCGTTGACTTTGCACTGTAGCAATATTAAACGCTTCTTGTAGCAAATAGTTGCCGCAACAAATGGTCTGTGGCCTATGCTTAATTAATAATTCGCTAACGGGAGCTTCTGTTCGAGTTCGAGCATCTCGGGATCTGAAATTGGGTTCAAGGACCCTTTGTTTTCACTTTTGCAGTGGATAAATATGTGAACAAGAACTTTATTTGATCGCGTTTCTTGTAATAAATATGTAAGGGTCCGCGATTCGGGTTGTACCCCTTTTGAAGTATCTATAGTGCGATAGAAATACGTCAAGTTAGGACCTTCAAAGTTAGAAGTGAACTGGATGATTTTATTGTTTAATGTTGTACAGTTTTCTGACAAAATTTTAACCAAAAATACCACTCACTTATTCCGGTCCAATAAAAATGCTGCATTTTTTAATTGAGCGAATTTTAGTTGTAATTCCAAACGTCAAAAAGGAACCTATGGTTTAACATTAGGTACCTATAAAAATTCCAATTCTAATTAATTAGGGCTGGTCGACAAAGACACCGAAGATACTTGTGACCAAATTCCTTCAGAGTTGAGATTTTAGGAATTACAAAGAAATAACGAGTTGAGAATGGAGGTAAAGTTTAATCCTTATGATGAGCTGAAGTGTGCCCCATAATTTTTATTAATTCCTGCTCGCCAACCCAACATTTCGCTAATTTTAGTAACAGCTGTCGTGTGAGCTGAATGATTTTTTATTCTTAATCTTTTTACATCGAGATTTAGCCACCACTTAGTTATTTCATTAGTGGCAATTAGCAAAACACATTCTCAAAACATAATTGGAATTTTGAACTCTTTGAAGCAGATCCCTAGTGATATTGGTGGTTTCTTCGAATTATTTATTGTTTCTGTATTTGTTTCATAAGCTCTAATTTTTGCAAACCCCCAAAAGAAAAAAATCGAGTGGTGTAAGATCGAGAATGCGTTGCCGGTGAAACTGAACTAGGGCTGTAATTTAAAAGTTTTGGGATTATACCCTACAACAAAACTCCCTAGTGTTCTAAACCATCTAAAATGCAATTATTATCTCTCCCTTTTTTGATTCCGAAATTTTCAGATTTTTTCTTATCCCGGAAACACTGTATAACTACGTACTTATACTGTGTGTCTCCGGTGGAAAGCACCATGGGAAAACGGCAATGTATTTTTTCGCGAAGGATCCGTGAAGCCTTTGAAATTAGCATTCAACTTACTACCCCAATCTCTTTCTAGCGTCAGACAAGCGCAATAACGTACGTTGAACGCTAACTTCCAATACATATCAAAGGCTTCGTGGATCCTTCGCGAAAAAATACACTAACTACATCGTTTGTATTTAAGGTGGTAATAATGTGAAGCAAATCCAATATTGTGTTGCAGTCAGTTCCAATTTCAACGCCGAAGTATTAAATAGTTCGCGCTGTTATAAATTGTGTATATTTAAGTGATATTTTAACTGTTCATTTCGAGACTGTCATAAATTTATTGTTAATTAATTGTAAATAAATAAATCACGTAATTAAATTTACGTTAAGAGTACGCTTTGTTTTCTATGACAACGTATTTATTTTATTTTGTAAAAGTTGGTTTATTATTGACTACTATATAAATCTTGTGTTCGATATGGGGCGCCAAATCCATTAGGGGTTAGGGCGTTGTTGACCCTTAATACGCCACTGGGAATATTGTAATGCCAACAATATAAAAAGGCGTTGTTTCAAAAATTGAACCAAAAGCCTTTAGCATTGAATAATTCAGGTTCTTTATTCCTTTAGCGAACAGGTTTTTTTTTTGTTGTCAGGTTACCTGACAATCGATATTAAGCTCTGTGATGTATCAGAAACGTCAAACTTTGTTGGATTGGTATTGGTATTGGCGTCATGCTGCAATGGGGTAAAAAATGGCACTCCACTTTTTTTACGAAAATAAATTTTCCTTTTTTTTAAATTATTACATGTTTTGGCAGGTTCATATGAACTCAGCAGAACCTCAAAAAACCAAGAAAATGAAAAGTGAACTAACGATAATTAGGCGCTAATTAGGTACTAATTAAGTGGCCTATCCCCGAATTAAATGCTCCTTTTTTTTTAAATTATTACATATTCTGTCCGGTTCATATGAACTCAGCAGAACACTACCTTTAAAACCCAAGAAAATGAAAAGTGAACTAACTATAATTAGCTGCTAATTACGTGCTAATTAAGTGCCCTATTCCTGAATTAAATACTCCTTTTCTATAAATTATTACATGTTCCGCTAGGTGCATATGAACTCATCAGACCAATACCTCAAAAAACCAAGCCTAAGGTTTGTATGAAATGTGCGTGAATCATATCGTTTGCGAGGAATTTTTATTTAGAGTTATGGTACCTGGTAACGAGTATTTACACCAAAAAATTATGTACAAAAAATGAAAACATCAAAATTAGTAGTGGTATCCTAAGTGACCGTGATGGTGGCCATAATATCCAGCGTGGTGGGGATTGACAAAGTGATGCTGATGGCCATAGCTGTAGGGATGGACCCCATGTTGGTAATAATGATGGCCGTATGGGTGCTGTGGTTCGGGTTCTGGTGCGGCGATGGCCAACACGAAGAGAAGTGCGAACAAGGCAAACTGTAACAAAGTGTTACGTTAATTTTGGTAGCCCAAAAAGTCAATACTTACGTATTTGAACATCTTTGTACAGCAGAAGCTACAAGACTATGTTTAAAATCATCGAAGAGGGTGCTTTTATAGCGTGTATTTACATACAAACTTCTAATAGATCACTTGCCCTTTAAAAGTAGGAGCTCCCAATTAGTATTCAGATGTTTAGATTAATTCCCTGGATTTTTGAATAATATGCGGATCAGTTACGTAATAGTATTTTTAACAACGGAGACAATTGGGTATAAATATTCATTTATTACGTTTATTAAGAACTTCGCTCAATTTTATAAATGTCGTCTCTTATTTATTGGGTAGCACGGTATAATTTACGACCATTAGGGTTTCCGGCTTAATTGATATTATAGGCGTTAGTTTCGGCTTGAAATGGATTAGTATCATTACCAACGGTTTCTAACAATGAAGTAAATTGAAATAAAATGCTTCAAATGCTATTTTACACTTAGTCTTAAGTTGTGCGAGCAAATAATTTTATATGTATAATGTTGCCGTGAAGTCTTATTATATTATTTTTTATTACAAAAATCTTTCTCCATAACTTACGTTTTTATTATTTTGTAAACTAAATGTATATGCTCAGAACATTAACGTTATAAAGCTAAAGATTCCATTCGGCTTTACCGCATTAGAATTGTCCTCCCAACAGTATGGAGCAGAATTATCGTCTTAAACAGTTTTGTGAGACAAACTGTTTTGGTTACACTGTCAGTTATCATCTTTAAAGATTTCATCAAAGATCCTTCCTCCACATTGACTCTCAGCGGGTATTCCCTTCTAAGTGCATCTGCCCTAACTATCATAGCTGGTCGGAGTCGATATTGCCCCCTGCCCCCGTAATTCCAAGGCAAGTTCTGCGCTGCGCCTTTGTATTTGTATGATGTTCTGGGTGAAGGTCTTATTCCACCACACCAGTGATGCATATGTAATGACTGGAATAAAAATTGTAATGTCATTTTTGGAACGGTGGCCTACAGGCCCACAGGGACCTTGTGGCTCTGTTCGCTTTTTTTGCAGATGTGATTTGAAGGTCTAACGTGATGCCCAAGTGTTTACCTTCTCCCACTACTGTAGCTTGGTGCCGTACATTTCAATATTTTTAGCTTTGTTTTTAGCGCTCACGTTAGTGAGGTAAAAATTACCCCCTACTTTTTTTACGGAAATACACGTTTTGAGGCACCAGGAATCCGAATCAAACAAAATCTCGATGAGGTCGATCGGTCTGTCGGTCTACCGGTCTGTACTCTCATTTCCGGCTAAACGGCTAACCCGATCGAAACCAAATTTGCTACACATATTCTTAGACCAATTTTTTATTATTCGTAGGCGTGTCGTTAATTCTGTCTCAATAAAAATTGTTATATAGGATTAAAAAACAATCTCTTAATTACTCGACCCTAACCATAACATACGCTGTCGCATTGTTCAATTAAAACTATTTTTCTTTATTATAAAATGCCATTTGTGACATGCGAAAGTCTTGCAAAACTGTTTAATTGGACTGCCAAGCCAACCTCCACGTAAAATCTTAGTTTATTCAAAGAGTAACTATGGTTTAATTTAAATTACTAATTAAAAGGGAAATTAATAATTTGTTCAATTTGGTTTTAAGAGCTATTTTAAAAGCTACTACAAATATACAGTAAGTCCAAAGTTCGTGAGAATATCACTGCAATGGTTTGAATATGGCGAATTTCTAGACACTAATGATATTTTGATTGATAAATTAAAAGATTGTAGCTTTGAATGTTTGAATCCATGTGTGAGTAAACCTCTCCCATACTTCACACTTCTAATGAAGTTTTGTTGCATTTCTAGCAAAATAGTAACACATACCAATGCTTTTGGTACAACGGTGCATGTTCTGCCGATATACCTCAAGGCAGTACTCTTGGTCCACTACTATTTTAATCCATACCAATGAGTTTTCTCTTGCACTCGCTCTAAATTACACAAACGACACTGCTATTATATTCAGTGAAAAACATATTTAAAAACCGAGATGGTTTAAAAATAATAAACGCATTTTGACATCTAAGGGTCCTTACTCTACTGGTTTTTTTCTTTAATAATTCTTTCAGCGTAGAGTAGATCCAGCGTAAAACCTTATTTAGAAAATGTTGATTTACTCAATGGTAGAAAAATCAGATTAGCATTCAGCAAACGAGCTGAATAGTGAATACTGATGATTTGATTTAGTTAACAAGAAACTAATTTTAAGCGTAATATGGATGAAACCGAATTCCTTGAACAAAAGGTCCCATAGAAAGACGCTTCCTTACTCATGATACTTAACATTCCGACTATTATGATCTGATAAGAAATGCCTAAAGTTAACATCTCCTCCATGCATTATTCAGCACGTAACATTTAAATAAATAACTTAATAATTTCGTTCAAAAATGTACAAGAACAACAATAATGAATAAAATATACATATTTCACCGTGGACATTTGCGTAAAATTCCGTATTATTTAACATTTCAGAAATCCAATATAATTGTATAATTAAGAATATATAGGTCTCCGGACGCCCACACTAAATTAGCCGGCACCTTAACATTTTCGTCGTATTAAAAATTTATCACACCTTTTGCTCGCATTATCATGTAAATTAGTAATTAAAGAAATGGAGCAGGATGCTAATGGAGCAGACCTTGTGTTACTCACGTTTGTCAAGGATAAGGTAATGAACTCGTTCAGTAGATTTGACCTATTGCTTTATTGTCTATTGAAATTTTGTACAGGTTTGTTCCGAAAGTTGGTTTTTAAATTAGTTCAATTCCTTCTTAGTAGTATGCGGAGTAGGGGTAGCCGTAATAGCCGGTGTTGTATGGGTATGCGGAGTAGTGTCCAGAGCTGTAGGGGTAGGCACCATAATTGTATGCGGAAGATCCGTAGCTGTACGGGTAGGCACCAGATTTGTATGCGGAAGATCCGTAGCTGTACGGGTAGGCACCAGATTTGTATGCGGAAGATCCGTAGCTGTATGGGTAGGCACCATAGCTGTATGGGTAGGCTCCGTACGAGTAGGGGTAGGCACCATAGTTGTAGGCGCTCACTCCGCTGATGAGGTGTTGGGGTTTCGCCTCTGGTTCGGGTTCGGCGATAGCCGCCACGAAGAGGAGGGCAAAGAGAGCGAACTAAACGAAGAAATGCGATAAGTAATTAATATACCAATCAAATAAATCTACTTACGAATTTGAACATTTTGATGATTGCTTTGAACGGCTACTGCGACAAAACTGTGCCGACTCCACCCGGGAATGATCCTTAAATACTAAAACAAAAGCAAAATTTGCATAAAATTTATGGCGTAACCAAATCGATTTATTGATCTCTTCAAACAGGTGTCGGCTTTTTTTTGCATTTTATATAGTTCAAAACGCGCGACATTTTTGGGTACCAATTAGCGCAAGCCAGTAACAGACGTACATATTTAAATTAGCCAATTACAATATTAAATCAGATTTTTTAATTAATACTACAGGATTCGGACGTACACAATTAATTATTGATTCTGGGAAGATACGCTGCATTAAAGCACTAATAAAGAATGTGTTAAAGCGATTTTTATCGTCGCCCATAAAACACGTAAATTATTAGATTCCTGTAATAGCTCATTACACTAAGATGATCACATTTTCTTCCCCCTACCTTGTATATTGATTTACGTTTGGTACGTAAAGTCTTTGATCCGATGCAAAATGTCAAGGTACGTCCGTACTAAAAAAAGTGCAGAAAAAGCAATTTTGAATTATCTTGAACTTTACTAATCAAGTTGTTTGCGCACTTTCTGGCCGAAAATAATTCAGGAATTTCGCTAAACGAAAACATATTTTTTTAACGAGTTTGGCCTTTCGATAGTAGGTATCCGTCCTTTAAACCCACAATACTTATTTACATTTTTTTGGAATTGTTATTTGGAACGTGGCAGTAAATGCGTACATCTAGAAGAATTTGCGTGGAAGTTGCGGACGAATCCGACCTTTTTCCGGAAATAATAAGCTTCGAGATTTGAATGCTCGACATTTCAAAAATTGATGTTACATGTTAGGGGGCGTAAATGTAAATCGTTTGGAAGGTTGCGCTTTACTTGCAACCGCGTCCCTTTTATTGTAGAAATTTTGTTCTTGCGAAAACCTAGACATGCATTAAGTTGTTCTTCACATTAATTTCAATCAATGTTAATTCCTTTAATCCAGGATACTAAAATTTGTTCTCCTCCGAACTTTGTTGTTCAAGTAAATTCTAAATATCCCACGATAAGATTTGCCTTTAAAACAAAGCTAAATAATACAGGGTGGTATTTTTAAGTAGACCATTAGAAGAATCTCAAGAACGGTTTGTAATTTTGATTCGGGACTCATTACCTTTTTTTTAATAATCGATCAAAAGGAATCATTTAAAAATATTTTCAAGATGAACTCTTTCCGGTTGTGTCAGAACGATACCGGAACTTTCTTATTTCACTATCTTTTTTGATGGTATTTTTGAATTACTCAAAAAACCAGTATGATTTTGTTAATATGATGCTATGTCTAACTGACATGGTTTCGAAGTTATTTGACATTTTTTCACAGTTTCAGAGGTTCAGTAAATTAGCCATATCACTGTTGTCTGACAACTTAGCAAAATGTTTTTTTCACGAATGGACAACTAAGAGTCCACACTATCAAATGCCACAACTTTTGGGGGAGTTAAACCATTTGCTTGGCGTTTGCTATAGTTTCACATTTCAAACATATCTAACTGTTATAGAGAAATCGCACTTTTAGCAATTTAAAAAAAACATAGAACGTTTTGAAATACAACGCAAAATGCATCAGAATAGACTTGTCAGCCAGGTCAATCTACACTGGTTTGCTTAAAAACAGCTATCGAGAGCTGCTGAATGCGCAAACGCAACAATGGCGCCAATCGCAATGTTTAGGTACTGCTGCGGGGACAACAAACAGTGAAAATTATAGCACAATTTGCAAATTTAAAAAAAGAACGCAATGAAATATGAAACGGCAGCGCATGAATGTGGTTTATCTTTTCGAAATGTCGTGAGGGTAGCTTAGTGTTACTAAGGGTTGGTTCAACTAGCGAGTTTGGTTGTTTCAAATCGTGATTTTTACAAATTAATTAAGCGCCGCTTTGTGCTAGAGTAGCTCAGGTCCATGGTGAATAAGCACGGTACAGCTGCATCACATCCTGTTACAAATAAGAAAACTGACAACTTTTTTCTGAAGTGTAGTAGAGACTTCGAAGAGAGAAAATTAATGAATGCGTTTTAAGCCGTCGTAGAGTCACGTTAAACGAATTAAGAGAACGGAAATAAAAATTCGTGGTGGGCCTTAGTGAGCCCGAGTCATAGCTATCGAGCGGGAAGCTATTTTTTTGTTACGCGGGTGTTTCAAAAATAGTAGCGAAAATCGCTGTTATACGTGCGGACGCGCAATAAGCGAAATACCACCCTCCGCTAAGAATGAGGTTTTAACTTCAATAAACGAATTTCCATTTCCAAATCCAAAAATAGAAGGTGATCCCAGTTGTCGCAAGTTAAATTACTCAAAGGGTAGATTTAGACGCCGTATTTTAACATAAATCGTAAATTGGGTTTGGTACTCAAAGAAAATGAATTGTATTTTATAAACACTCTATACACTCGCACTTCATTTTTCGTAGAATACGGGCGTATCGCTGACCGCTCTATCGTTCGGTTCATTGAATATTCTATATCGTTATACGTGCTAAGATAAGAACAATTCAAATAAAATCGTGATTAAAGACACGAAAATATTAACTTAAAGTGTTACCTATTTATACCTGCAATCTAAGTGTGCGGATTTGTGCTACCTACCTGTATTGTGTTAATATTGCTCATAAACCGATTCTGAACTAGCACAGCACCATGGATGAAAAACTTGATACCCTAATAGCAGGTTTTGCGAGACTTGAAGATAAGATAGATAAATGCTCTCTCGACTTAAACCAAATTTGGAAGAAGGTCAACGAGTTGGAAATAGAAAATAAAGAATTATCTAAGTGTATTGTAAAGCTTGAGGATAAAGTGGACCAACTAGAAAACCAGTCGCGCAGCAACAACCTGGTAATTTATGGAATTACCGAGGAAGGCAACGAAAGATGCGCTAATCAAAAATGCCAAACAACTAAAAGGTAGTGAAAAAGCAATTTCCGACGACTTCTCCCAAAAGGTAAAGCTACAACGCAGTAAACTAAAACCATTTTTGGAAATCGCAAGAAAAAGTGGCAAGATAGCTTATTTGTCCTTTAACAAGTTAGTAGTGGATGGCAAAAAGCTAACTTATGAAGATGCCGTAAAAGCGTTTGAACACAACTCTACAACCAGCAGAAATCAAGACGCAGGTAGCGACACCTCATATAGAGTAGAACTCCCAGAGGAACTTGCGGCCACGTCCTGGTCCCAAGGTTACGAACGCATAGGAAAAAGGAATCGCAAAGAAATTTACCATCTTGCAGTACAACATTCAATCAATTCGCAATAAATCAATCTCTCTTGTAGCAGCTCTGGACGAATTAAAAGCAAATGAAAATCTGGAGGCGGACGTCATGTGTGTATCTGAGCACTGGTTACGCCCAGGTGAGTCTAAATTCTTTTCTGTGGACGGTTTTTATCTTTGCAATTGTTACTCAAGGAAAAATACGGGAGGTGGAGGCGTTCTTAATTTAGTTCGTAACGGCTTAGCTTTCAAGAGTATCGAAGTTAGTACGCCTGTCATTCAACAGTATTTTGAATATGTAGCAATCAAAAATAACCAAATGCTTATTATAAACCTCTACAGATCTCCAAATCATAATTATGATGTCTTTTTTGAAAACTTGTTTGATTTATTAACTCTTACTACTGGTCTTTCAAAGAGGCTTGTGGTATGTGGTGACTTTAATATGGACATCTTAGTTGAGTCTAAACAGAAATCTGAGTTGTTATCAATCATGCCCGTCTTTGGGTTGGCTCCAATAATTAAAACTGCCACTCGAATAGTTCAGTCAACAAGAACATTAAATCGATAATTTTTTCATATCCACAGAGAACACCACTTACTCTTCATACAGTATTCCGATTGGTTTATCCGACCATAATTGCCAATTCTTAATTTTAAGCAACACAGGACTAGAAAATCCGCAAAAAAATCAAACGGAAGTTCGTAGACTCTTTAACAAAACCAATTGTCGTAAATTCCTTAATCTATTGACACACGCTGAATGGGACTTAGTATTCTACCAAAAAGATGTAAACAGAAAACTCGATGCATTTTACTGTGAATTTAATAGACACTTTCAGACTGCCTTCCCACCTACCTCTGTAAAGTCAAACAACAACCAATACGACCGAGGGTGGATTACAAAGGGAATACGTACATCGTGTAAAAGAAAAAGAGAACTACTTGCTCTAAAGAAGTTCAGTAACAATAACAATTTCACTATTTACGTTAACAAATACTGTACAATCCTGAAGCGCACAATAATGATGGCCAAACAGATGTATTTTAATAAAAAAATCTTGAACTCGAAAAATGTTATTAAGGGAACTTGGAATGTCATTAATAGAGAGCTTGGGAATCGCAATGTGAAAACTGTTAAGAATATTACTTTACTAGACAGTAACAACATAGAAATCAGTAACCCTACTCTAGTAGCTCACACTTTTAATAAATATTATGCGGATGTTGCCAAAAAACTTCAAAATGACATTAAATGAAAGCGTTCTCTCCTGGAGTATTTAAATAATAGCCTAAATAACAACTCTTTTTTCATTACACCTTGCACAGAATTAGAAGTACAGCAAGTAGTAGCCTCATTTGCTGACAAAAGCTCAAGCGGGTTTGATGAAATTCCTATAAAAGTTTTAAAAATATGTATTGGCAAATTAAAAGTCATACTCACGGATATATTCAACTGTTCTTTCTCAAGTGGTCTGGTCCTAGACATATTAAAAATCGCTCTCGTAGTTCCAATATACAAAAAGGGTGATGAAAAACTTCCTGAAAACTACACACCAGTCTCTCTGCTTACTACACTTTCAAAAATCTTGGAAAGGCTAATGGTGACTAGATTAAATCAATTTATTTCTCAGAACAAAATTTTAAATAACTCACAATTTGGATTCTTAAAAAACAGGAATACACAAATGGCAATATTTAATTTTGTGAATACCATAATTTCGTGTCTGATGGACAGCGACAACCAACAAATTTTAGGCATCTTCTGCGACTTGTCAAAGGTTTTTGACTGTGTAGTGCACCAGACGCTAATCGAAAAACTCCAATTCTATGGCATCCGGGGATTAGCAGCGCAGTGGTTTCAGTCATACCTTGAAAACAGCTACCAAAAGGTGTTAATACGATTTCAGAATAATTCAGTCATTCAACGCTATACATCAGAGCTCAAGCCTATAACATGTGGCGTTCCCCAAGGCAGCATACTGGGTCCCATTCTGTTTTTATTATATATCAATGATTTACCAGTTACCACTGAGTTTTAGTGCCTGTGAGTTTACTCTATTTGCAGATGATACCAATTTATTAATTAAAGCAAACGATATTCTGGCGCTCGAACTTAAAGCTACGGAAACAATTAACAAAGTCTTTCATTGGTTTTGCAGCAATGAATTAAAATTCAACTGCGAGAAGTCATGTAGCATTAAGTTTCAAGAGCGATGGTTCAGGAGCTAAACCTCACGACTAAGATGGGAGACTTAACTAACTTAAATGTAACGAAGTTCATTGGGCTATATATTGACGATAAGCTGTCATGGAGACACCACATAAATAATTTAAATAAGTCTCTTTTCTCGGCAGTTTACGCCTTAAGCCAAGTCAAAAACTTGGTAAATACTCAAACTTGTAAAGCGATTTACCACGCCTACTTTGAAAGTCTAATGGCTTACGGGATTGAATTTTGGGGAAACTCTGTGGATTCCGATACAATTTTCAAAACCCAGAAACGAGCATTAAGAATCATGTAGGTACAACATGAACAAACGCGACTCTTGTAAACAAAAATTTGTTGATGCAAAAATTTTAACAATGACCAATCTTTATATCTTAAGAGTCACACAACACATTTATAGAAATTTACAGTTTTTAGACAAACATGAAGACTAAGATCATAACTACGATACTCGAAAGAAAACAAACATTATTCTACCCAAATACAAACATGCTTTCAGCCAAAACGGTCCTTTATACACTGGTATAAAAATATTCCAGAAACTTCCACCTTCCGTCACAAACGCTTCAACACTAAGACTTTTTACAAAAAAACTTAAAAATTTTTTATATCAAACAGCTTTCTATAATCTCAACCAATTTTATAACCATCAATAAAATTCAACTGCGAGTAGGTACTTTCCCTACGCCTGTACAGGGCTCGGATACACACATGACGTTTGCTAAGAGGTTATTCTATAATTTTTATTAGTTCAATTTAGTTAATATGGTATTTTATAGATTCATTAATGTGTATATGTGGGAAATAAAAATTTACTTTACTTTACTTTACAATAAAAGGAAATCGCACAATTCTCTTCGCATTCATTTTAATTACAATCTAGTTACCGACGGCAACATTCGGCCAAGCTTCGTCGCGAAAATCCCTATTCTTCTGGAGCTGCGCAGAATGGTCGATCTCCAGGACTTGTCACGATGGTTGTATACAGAGCGTTTCGTATTTTTTCCCAGCAGGAGATCTGCTACGCTTTTCTTTCCAGTGTAACGTGGTTGCATCACCGTAAGGGTATGTCACTACCACAATCTAGTTATTTTTCATTAAACTTAAGTTCTCTGTGACTTTTTCATCATTTTAGAGTCACATTTCTCAATTTTTGCGCCACCAACGCCAAGAATAAGCATGTAATAACAATCTTTTAGCAATGGTTTATGAAGGTTAGGCTTTCTGCAATTTTTCCACATTTTAAAGTTCCTTCTATCTACCTCCTACGCCAGCAACACCGAAACTAGGCATCTCACATTAACCCTCTAGTTATTTTTGCATTTTATAACAACCCTCTGGTTAGTTTTCTTCAAGTTTAAACTCTGCGGCTTTTACAGACAGTATTTTAAATTGCAAATTCCCAATTAGTTCAACCTCTGGCAATACCACATCCGTTCAACAAGAAGAGTGTACAGGTACATTCAAGATACCTTATCAAAGGTTATGTCACCCTAAATTACTTCGATATTTAAAAAAAATTAAAACTTAAAACTAAGAAACCAAGAACAGGACTTAGACCGTATTTACTGTTTCCTTTTATTTTGGAGTGGAGCCTAGGTAGCTGGCACGAACCCCTGACCTACTATGTGCTTACAGGGCTAGCATGCTTATCCTGGGTAAGAAGACTCCCTCTCGGTCGTATTCAGCATTAGAACCACAAGACCAAGGTGATCAACAAAGATTAAAAAAATGCAAACGCACTGACAGTTTAGATCGCACACCTAATCTTGATCGATCTTGTTGTTTCGTAGTAAAGATGTGTAAAATAATTGAAACTTTATTTATTTATTTATATTTATTAATTCGCATAACATTTAAAATCGCTCGTGAATTTAATAATAACCGTACCCGGCATGTGGGTAATGAGAATAAGCAGACGAATAGGCGTGGTGTCCATGGCTGTAGGGGTAGGCGCCGTAGTTGTAGCTGTGCGGATAAGCGCCATGGCTGTAGGGATAGGCACCGTAGTTGTAGCTATGAGGGTAAGCGCCGTAGCTGTGGGCATAAGCGCCATGACCGTAAGGGTAGGCCCCGTAGCTGTAAGGGTAGGATCCGCGGTGGTAGGGTGAAGCTCCATAATTGTATGCCGCTACTCCATACTGCGGTTTGGCTTCCGCCTTTGCTTCAGGCTCGGCGATAGCCAAGGCGAAGAGAACGGCGAATAAAGCGATCTAAAACACTACCCTTAAAAAATGTGTGATTGACAATTACTTACGTATTTGAACATATTGTAAGAGTGCCTTGTACTTCTGTGACTACAAAACTACAACCTCATCTAATTTCTTCGGTTCCTTTTATACGTACCTACTTAAAACCTAATTTACATAAACTTCTGTGATGATTATAGAAATAGTTCACGCGCCCTTTAAAAACTGGTGTGTCATCGGTCCCATTTACATATCTTATTAATTGTTCAAATGAATACGGATGTCTAACAAATTAGGTTGCGAAATTAAAGTAGAATTTGACATTTTGATCTAATTGGCGTTAATAATTTGTATAATATTAAGAGCACTGTAACCTTTTTCAGTTCTGCTCCACAAAAAAGTTTATTGTAGTTTAATAAGGGTGGCTTAAATGAAATTGATTAGAAGAAGTTCGCTTTTGTTTCCAGTAGCCTCAAAGCCTCTTTACGAACGTCCTAATTCAGAAATGAATGGGAATAATATTTTGAGACCTATTAATTTGACATAAATGTCAAGTTAACACGGAGGAGGAATCCTTATTTGTTTAAACAAATAAAGTTTATTGCTTCGAAATGTAAATGCGGCGGAGGACGCACCGGTTTTCGAAGGGGTTATCATCAGGTAATTGATGTCCTTAACAGTTTATGCAAATCGCGCTTCTGGAATTGGTATAAAAGAATTGATGTAGTTCGGTCGAATTGTAGTTTTGTATCCGCTGACCTACAAGCAACCGTACAAAATGTTCAAATACGTAAGTAGAATTTTTATTTTTCAATTTTATTTTTACAAGCAATTGTTTAGTTTGCTTTACTCGCCATCGTCTTCGTCTTGGCCGTAGCCGAGCCCGAAGCGAAACCGGAGGCCAAGCCACAATGGCCAGTGTCTGCGTATAACTACGGACTGGGTGCCCACAAATACGGCGTTTCGCCTTACAACTATGGAGCTTATCCCTACAACCATGGAGCTTACTACGGTTCCTACCCCTACAGCCAGAGCGCGTACCCTCACAGCTACGGTCACAACTACGGCGCGTACCCCTACAACTACGGTCACGGTTACGGCGCTTACCCCCACAGCTACGGAAAATACGCTTCGTACCCTGGTTATGCCGGTTACGCGCATACTGGATACCCATACGGTTACTATTAAATAACTGACCAATTGTAAATAACGGACGAAAATGTATCAAAACTAATAAAATGAAAAGTAAGCATTTACGAATTTCAAACAATGAATCTGAAATAATTCCCCATTATCATTATTTTTTCAATTTAAAAATAAATCCAAAAAGAGTCGATCGTCACCTCAGCAGAAAAATGACACAAGTCACTTTTACGAAAGTACAAACTATAAGAAAATTTTTTTCCGGGTCGATCTGAGACAATTTTTTCTTCGGGGCTCAAAAATCGACTGCACCAAAATTTCTGGCGAAAACACTTTTTCTTATAAATTTTGGTGCGTAGAACCCAAAACAATTCGTACTTTTTCGATCGGACTTCTCAATCAAAGGTTATGGACTAGAAACTAATTTCGAAAAAAAATTCAAAGGGCTGTAACTTTTGAACTAGTAGCCCAATCTTGGAACGTGGCTAGGGGCGGCAGCTTTAGGGGGCGGCATTTTTTGCACTATATTTATTTTAGGTAACATTTTAAGTTTTAAAATAATAGTTAAAAATGTTTAATTAAAATTATGAAATAAATTGGAATTGGTAGACAGTTATTCTTTTCATATTAGTTTTAAAAATTTCATGTTATTATTTGATTTTTATTTTAAAATTTATTGCAATTTAAAGATTATTTTGGGGCCACTGGGTCGCAATCGAATTTTTCTAGGTAACATATTTCATGCACCCATCGGGTACTCCAACAAGTTTGCAATATATACTTCCTGTATTTTCCAATTCTATTTTTTGCAACAAAAATATGAGATGAATTTATTTTGTAATGAACTTGCATTGTGAAAATACAAAAAAGAGTACCAGCATTGAATAAAAACCTTTATTCAATGGTACAGCTTCCCATTAACTTAAATGAGTACAATTGTTACTTTAATACATGAATGAGATTGATTTAGAATCCTTAGCTGTAGTAAGAAATCGATGTAATTACATTTGTTTCCTATTTATTTATTTATTTGTTTAGCCAGATACCATACAGAATACAATTATTCCAATTACATGGCACTGGGATGCTGTACTTAAAACTAAAACTACACAGTAATTACGATCTTATATGACTAATTAAGGGGGATCTCACACAGTTCAGTTATGAGCGTTTGCAGGGGTTTCATAGAAAAATTCCCCAGACTTTAGTTTCAATCACTTAGTGCTAAATGATACACCGATCTCTTCGCAAGGAAATTTGCGATGTTTCTATAGTAACACATTTGTCAAATTTATTGCAATATCAAGTGAAATATCGTGTTAAATATAGCCAAAATGTGTCACTTTTCATACGTAGAATTTTGCATTATGGAAATAAATAATCGAAAAAGTGTTACTATAGAAACATAGGAGTATCCTTCGTCTTTTCAACAAAAAAAAAATTGAAAAGATCGGTAAAGAAATACGGCCGTGACAATCTTTCCACGAAACGTCTACCGTGTGTGGATTGTATGAATTTTACTTGCTGTTGAGTAGCGCCACGCAATCCGAGTTTTAAAACTAAACTGGACGTATTAAGATCATTTTGTGGGAAGGAATATTCAATTCTAAATCAGAGACTACTTGCAAAAGTATTAACAATTTTAGTTCAAAATGCGTCTTCATTTAATGATTTAAGTGCAAATCGAGAACACTTCACTCCAGCCAAGGATAGTCTAGATAGTGCTCATAAAATTGAATTAAAAATAAAAATAATTAGCAGTTAGTGTAGTGTAGTAAATGTAAAATAAATAAAATTATAAATTATAAAATTGTAACATACAATCAGAGCTGGGAAGTGGGCAGTATTCTACGTTGTAAATACTGTGTAGTATTCAGTTACTTTCGAGTACATATTCAAATACTTTATAATTAAATAGGTACTTTTATGGAAGCAGTATTTGTATTCTCAACTAAAATACTTTAACATATATTTTTTAGTGTTCAAATACTTTACAAACAATCCGCATATTTCGCAAAGTATTCTAATACTTCACTAACAATCCAATACTTTTCAAGTTAGTGAAATACTTTGAGAACTATTTAAATATATATATTAAATGGAAAGTATTAAATACTGTCAGAAGGATTTAAATATTATTCGACAGAAATTCCCCTTATGTGATGGTTTTGTGCGCCCGTCTGTCTGTCTGTTCCTCGTCTAATTGGAGAATGGAAAGAGACAGGGATGTCAAACCTTCACCAATCTATTTCTATGACTTTAAAGATCAATGCTATTGAATATGAGCTGAATTAAAAGTGTTATTTCCAAATCCGAGCCGAGTGTCAAAAAATTCCCCTATTAAGAATCGTACGCGATACTTCATATGTTCTTTAACGTCCGCCAAGATAGTTTATAATTTACTACTGTGCCTATCTGTCCGTGTGCATAATAACTTTGTTTAGAAACGTCAGATCGCTTTAAAAATTGGTACACATGTTCTTAAGGGTATAAGAAAGGTCGCTATTGTTTCAGTTACGAAGTTCTAAAAATAGTGGATGCGTGAACATCTCGAGGATCATTCGGTATTCGACTGTATCGAATTTCGAGATGTGATGATAACGATATTGTTTCAAGCCCCTGCACCACGATATGATAAAACTAATATTTTTATAGATGCATACATACTGTTTAATCACCGTAACAGGCTACTAAATGTAATCACCCAAAATAACATCAAGTGATCATGATGATGATGGATAATCTTTTTAATTTTTCAATTATTTGAGTGAAGTATTTGAATACTTTTGACTATATTTGAGCACTTGTCAAAGTAATGAAACACTTTTTGAAGTATTCAAATAGGTACTTTTGATAGAATATAAGCCGTTTAAATAAAATTGATGAATTATCAACTTCGGCATGACCTTTAGTTTTCAAACTAAGCGATGCAGGAATAACTCGATAGTACCACAGATCTACACATACACAGATTGCTAACCTTATGCATTTTTTGGGAAACAAATTTAGGTATACTTAAAAGCGCCCTCTATTGCGGAGCAGTATAAACATGTACCGTTTAAAACTGTAATATGACGCTTATGGATTTATGCATTAGATGTCGCTGCAAAAATTTGAAGCGGTAAAGTGTGCATAATTCGAATTCGTTACTCGTTATTTTTAGCATTTGATATTTGTAATCGGTGAATTTATTTTGTGATTTGTTTCGGACTAGTTGTTTCAGTTTGTTATTGTTTAATTAATTTGTTGCTTGCGCGCCTTTCGTTTATAAGTTTCTGCATCTATCTATACTGACGATTGTTGTATCTTACCTATTGGAATAGTCTTTGAGGTAGGTAAGTACCTATAGTAACATTAATTAATTTAAATTAATTAATGGTCAGGTACTATTTAAAGCTACCTGCCGCCCCGCCAAGCGATTGTGCAAATATTTCTTCCAACTATAAACGGTTTTTCCGTTCACCGTTTCACTCTTGTCACTTCACTAAGCTGCATTATCTGCGTAGGCACGTGCAGGCAATGTAATTTGATCTCCAAAGACTTTTGATGTGGAAATATTAAAGCACCTATTTAGATTCTTGTTACCATGCCTGCGAGAAGAGGTTCAAAGCGATCCTACTTTGGGTGCCCTTCTACTTGGAAGATTTCCCCAAAAATGAATCTATCATGCGAGAATAGCGAGAATAGTATGCTGTTTGCTCTTCAACATGAAGAATTAAGAAATAAATTTATATGCGAAAAACATTTTTATCATGGGGCTTTATCAAATAGCACCCTCCACAGAACCAGGTTGAATCCAAATGTAATTCCTGAGGCGCACAATAGAGAAGATCTTATTGTTAACTTTCCCGCCCAATCGTACAAACTAGCTGCTTCTTCGAGCATAAACAAACGCCATACACCAGAACCTCTCCAAACATCGTGTTCATCAACGTCCTCGTCGGTAAAGCGCAATTTGGATATCATATATGTATATATACGTATTCTAAATCTTATCGGCGTGGTAAAGAGTGTAAAGTTAATTATGGCAGAGATATACATAGTTTTTAAGTATACCTTTGCGGTTAGGAATCTGTCAAGACTTTTAAAGCCGCAAATAGTTTCCGCCAACTTCAAAAAACCTTCACGATTCTTTAAGAACCTGCCCTATGTTACCTCCTATCATATCATATCACTGTAATAATACGAATATTAAGGAATTCGAATTGTGCAAACTTTAGCGCTTTAATTTTGTTTCAACGACATCTAACGCATAAATCTATAAGCGTCATATTACAGTTTTAAACGTTACATGTTTATACTGCTCCGCAATAGAGGGCGCTTTTAAGTATACCTAAATTTGTTTCCCAAAAAATGCATAAGGTTAGCAATCTGTGTATGTGTAGATCTGTGGTGGTAGTTATGTGTGTCGACAACCGCACACTTGGAATCAAAAGTAAATGAAGATGAGTTAATAGTAGCACTAGTGGGTATTTTCCCAGAGATATCCAAATGATACTCTGTGCTGCACAAGCTAAAACCCATAAAAAATTGAAGAGAATTTTAGAAAAAATTCAAGGATCTAATCGATATTCGAGTCGAACAGGCAAAAACCAAGATACCAAGATCAACGCAATTACCAAAACCAATATTCTACTTATTGAATTTTTTGTTGTGTCTTCTTAGGCATTTCCACTTAATTGATTCTCATCATACATAATTGTCCATATCCTGGATGACAAATCAAACCCAGTTCGAGATCTTCACTTCAATATTTGTCACGTATTAAATTGAGTACATCTGCAATTACGAGCCATTTTCTTATCAATCACTGATATAAGTCTATTTTTATTCATTTCGAGATGGTACTATAAATTATTGCAGTATGAGAATGTAGAAACTGAATGGTATTACATAGCAAGTACAAGGTACTCCATATAAAGATGAATGAGAATACGTACAAATCACCAAATGTTTCTTTGGAAATCTTAATGATAATAAATAGAAGGAACGAAGTGTTATTCTGTTCTTGTCTCACTTTTACTTATTTGATAGATATACTTTTATGAGAATACTCTGTTTCCATGGAGATTGTCAGGTAAGTGAAACTGAGACAAAGAAAACCTGACATAAG